GCATGATACTAAGGATGACCCTGTCTATAGGCTACGTGTTGAACAACTTACCCTAATCTCTGAAGTGTGGTCATCCTTGTCTGAAGGCTTGCGCAGTGGAGCTCGAAAGGTCTGGTCTCAATTGCATGCGACAGTGGGCCGTGCTCGTGCGTCTGACCGTTGGCGGTTCGTTCGCGGTCCCATCGCTGCCTTGTATGCTACTGTCTTGGACCTAGGATGGCAACCCTCCCATATCGATGAGTGGATAGTGGAAGGCAGAGCTCCCCTAAGAATGGATCGTATTGATTTTCGGTATCATGTCACCTCCTGTGTCCGAGAGAGTTGCTCTGCCGCTATTTGGTCTGCCGCTAGTCAGCATTGGTGTGGGCAAGGTCTCTCGTCTGGTGCTGACTTCTCTGTTTTTCGTTCCAAGCACAAGAAGCTGCTGGATGAAGGTGATTTCAAGAATGCTGCACTCTTGACCACCATTGTCGTTGGAGGATGCTGGCCTGAAAGTCGGCTACAAGACGCTGGCTACCGTACAACAGGCCGGTGCTTCCGATGTGGAGATGATATAGAAACTCCGTTGCATCGGGCTTGGCATTGCCCGTGCAATTCGTACCTACCTGACCCTGCCGTTGCTGCCAGTGAATATTTGGTTCCTGAGGCTCTTGGGGCTGACCCTCAGAGTGCCTTCTTCACTCGTGGGCTTCCTAGCTGGGACGCTACCTGTGGTCATCTGCCGTCCCCGAAGGAGCTCCTGTGGGCCTGGGGTCCCCTACGAGTCCAGCATCGTGTTCTTGGTGGTATTTGGGGCCTTGATGGCTCTGGTGGTGTATACGCCAAGGATAAGAGGCTACGACGTTGTGCTTGGTCTATTGTGTGTTTGGGTGATCCTGATGGGCTATCTTTGCAGTTATCTACGGTCCTCTGTGGTACCTTACCTACTCCTGAACAATCCAGTCCGAGGTCTGAGTTGTATGCCTTCCTGACTGTCCTTCTGCGAACGAGTGGTGATATTGTCTGTTATTCTGATTACTTGCCCCTGGTCAAAGGGGTCAGGCAGCCACGGGCTCAGGTGATGGCGAACAGCTCGATGCTCGATCTCTGGGCTCTGATCTGGACTGCGATCGACGATCGGGGCCCTGGTCAGGTCGAAGTCATCTGGACCAAGAGCCACGCCTCGGCCCAACAGAGGGCCCATTATTCAATCGGTGAGGTTGAGTATTTTTTGAACTTTTGTGCTCATTTCTTCGCGGGCTGGGCGGCCCAAAGGGCTGCCCCCACTGATGAGCAAGTTGAAACTACTAGGTTTGTTGATCGTATAACTAGTCACACTCTGGACCGCCTGCTGGCGGTCCATAAGGAGGTTGTTTCGGAGAACCCTCGGCGTGTCTCGGACAGGCTCGGACGCCCCCCCCCAAGGCCTGCACCCTTGCCGTCCTTTCTGGTGCGCAAAGGCCGTCTGAGGGCGGCGGGCCACGAGCCGACGCGCCGTGGGTCTTGCCTCCAGTGTCAGATTTGCTCGCGTAAGTTCTTGTTGAGGGGGAAGGTCCAAGACTTTTTCCCTGGCCCGTGTGCGGGGCCTTCCCACCTCTCCTCTGACCCTCTGGCCCACCCTTTGTACCCCAGGTGTGCCAGGAGTCATCGATTGCAAGTTTTGAGAGGTGTTCTTTACTGTTTGCATTGTGGCGCTCATGCGACGGTGAATGCGCAGAGTTTGTCTAAGCCCTGCAAGACGGACAGCCCCCCCTCTAAAGCAGGGAAAGAGGTTCTGTCACGGCTGTCCAGGGGATTGCCCCCCAAGGGCGGAGGTAAGTTCCCGCATGTCTGATTTTGCGGGGGGCGCGGTGCGAGTGGGGACTGCCCGGCGTTGCGCCGTTAGTGACCCTCGCACCGTTGCTCCCCGCTTGTCTGCTTTTGTTTCTGCGCCCAGGCTAGACCTGGTCTCCGCACGCCTCGTCATCATCATCATCCTCCTCCTCCTCCCCCTCATCCTCCTCCTCCTCCTGCTCCGACGCCTTCTCCTCCACCCGGCGTCGTCTTCCTCCTTCCCCCCCCCCTGGCCATCGGAGGGCCAGCCGGTCCAGCCCCCCCCGCCACGTGGGATCGTCGCCCCCCCCCCCATCCCCCCGAGCACAGCGCCACGGGGGGGGGGTCACGCGCGCGCGGCCCCCGCAGCCGCCCGGGGCGGCGCGCCTCGGCGGTCCACGCGGGGGGCAGACCAGCAGCTCCCCTATGACGCAACTCCTGGGAGGTCACGTGCCTGGCATCGCTCGGACGTGTGCATTTTTTTCTCGGCGAGGAACATCGAGGAGCATCCTTGATCATTTGGCGAAAAAACCACGCACGAAACTAAAAAAACACAGGGAATGGACGTCCGAGCGATGGCAGGCATGCTGCATCGGCGCTGGTCTGCTCGTGGTCGGCACAAGCCTGCATTATCTGGGCCTCCCAGATGGGGTCCGAGTGGATGCGGTCGGAGGATCGCGCCGCATCGTCGATGCATCGGCGATGCGGCTCGATGTGGAGCCCGATCTTCTCCACGCCGATGGCGCGGATGCGTCGCCGATGCATCGCCGATGCATCGCCGATGCATCGGCGATGTATCGCCGACGTATCGGCGATACGGCGCGATGTTCCGACCCCGTCGACTCCGACCCCATGTAGGATGCCTCTATTGAATCTCGATTACTCCAGATTGATCCCGCTTGATCCCGCTTAATCCCGCTTAATCCCGCTGAAGTCCTGGACTCGATCTGGCTCGATCCAGTGAAGAGTCGCCCGTCACTCGGGCTCCATCGCCTTTGACCGCTCCAGCGAAGACCTCTCAGGGGTTCCCCCTGGAGCATCGCACGGGCACGAGCGCGCTGCTGGTGCGGCAGAGTGCACAGGTTGACGGGTGCACCCATGCCAAGACACACCCTGCTTGCCTTCAGGGCGCCCTGGGTTTCTTGGGTCTCGTTGGTTCTGCTATGGAGGGCGCGACGCTCCCACACCAAGAATCAGTGGACGTCCTGGGGTTCCGGGGTCGGGTTTCTTGTGCAAGGCTTCTTGTGGTCGAGCCCCTGCCGCAGGGGCTGGGGCCGCGCGCCGCGCGGAGTGGCCGCGCCGGCCTCGCAGCCTTGGGGCCCGCGAGGAGAGCCCCCGGCGTGCGGGCACCGCTGCAGCGCCGGGAGGGGCGCTGCCTCCGTGGCCCCGCGGTGGTCGCCGGGCGCGCGCTCCCGGGCCCTGCGGCGGCAGGCGTGCGCTCCCAGGCTGGCGCGGGCCTCTCTTGCCCCGTCGTGTGCCGAGGGCCGCCCCGGAGGCACTCGGAGGAGGAGGAGGCCCCGTCCAGGTGCTCGTGTGCACCAGCTGTCCCCATCGGCTGCATTGGGGCGAGCAGCGGACGTTGGTCGGGCCTGGCATTTCGAGCCGCCTCTTCGACGCCCATGGAGCGAGGCAGCTCCAGGTTGTCGCTCAACTCGTGCGGGGAAACTGAAGAGGCTGCTGCAAAGCATCAGGCACTCCTGCCCGACACAGGCACTGGCGCCGCGTGCTCTTCCTCCCCGTTGCTCCTCCTCAATACCCCTTCCTGTAGCCCGCATCATGTTAAACGCATGTGCGACATCGTTGCGCCTCTCACAAAAGCTTTGGAAGCCCTTTCCCCTCTCTCCCTCCCCTCATCCAGTTGCTGCGCGAGGAGGAGGAAGATGAGCAGGAGGAGCAGGAGGAGGGCGGGGAAGGCGGAGAAGGAGGAGGAGGAGCAGGAGGAAGAGCAGGAGGAGGAGGAGCAGGAGGAAGAGCAGGAGGAGGAGGAGGAGGAGAAGGAGGAGGAGATGGAGGAGGAGGAGGAGGATGAGCAGGAGGAGGAGGATGAGGAGGAGGAGGAGGAGAAGGTTGAGGAGGAGGAGCAGGAGGAGGATTCCCTGGATTCCCTGCTTACTCTAAGCGCTGGCAGTGTCGCCTGCGAGCAGCATGAGGAGGACCAGTGTAGACCCAATACCCATCAACAGTGGTTGAATCCACACTCCCTCCAAGCTCCCTCCTCATAGGCCCCATACAAGGGCATTCATTCCCACTGAGGGAAGTGCCCCGTTGGGGGACCACCATGCGAGAATCTTGAAGCGCGGCAAAACGCCAGTCTCAGGACTTCAACGTCACGAGTCAACCTCACTGTTGCGTCTAGACGATCCGCAATCGTGCCAGAACGTTGCTCCTGGGATTTCAACACCGCGAATGAACGTCATCGTTGCGCCCTGATAATCCTGAATCTTTCCAAGAACTTGCAAATGTTTATAACGACTGCGCGCGGCGCTAAGGCGATAACCACATTCTGAAAACGACCCGGCCTTAACCTGTGTACATCTTGCAGTTTTCGTAAAACGAATGTGCGCGGCGCTAAGACGAGAACCACATGTTGAAAGCCACCCGCCCTCAATCCGTGAAGCTCTTGCAAATTTGTAAAAAAAGCAATGTGCGCGGTGCTAAGGCTGCAGCCACATTCTGAAAACGACCCCCCTCAGTCCGTGAAGTCCTCTCATGTTTTTCAAACGAATGTACGCGGCGCAGGCTGCAGCCACATTTTGGAAGCGACCCGCCCTGCATCACCACCCACCAAACCACCCCAACCCAACCCGAAGGCTCAGATTTACCCTCGATTTCCAGTGGGGGGGGGGTCGGGGAACATCGAAAAAACACGTGTGAAACCCTTACCCCCCCCAACCCGAAATTCGGGTCTTCGGGTTGGGTTGGGGTGGTCTGGTGGGTAGTCACTGCATCTGTGAAACTTCTCTCAGTGTTTAAGATTGAGCCTCACAAGTGGTATGGAAGCCTCAATCGAGACGCTCGGCCCACCCTTCTGACTGGCCTCGGGGTGCGACAGGGAGAAGTTATTCATGAGGAAAAGGACTGGAGGAGGAGGAGGAGGAGGAGGAGGAGGAGGAGGCAGGGGAGGGAGGAGGGCGGAGGAGGAGGCGGAGGAGGCGGAGGAGGAGCGGGGAGGGGCGCCCGCCGCCGCCGGCCCCCTCCGCCTCGCCGAGTCCGCTCACGTGGGCCTCGCCGTGAGCCAGGGCGTGGCAGAGGCCGCGCCCCACCCCGCCACGGCCTGCCGCGCCCCTTGCGCCGCCGGCCTCTCGCGCGCCTTGGCTCCAGTGGCGGCCCCTCCCCTTGCTGGCGGCTCCTCCTCCTCCTCCTCCTCCCTCCTCCTCTTCCTCCTCCTCCTCCTCCTCCTCCTCCTCCTCCTCCTCCTCCTCCTCCTCCCCCTCCTCTTCCTCCTCCTCCTCCTCCTCCTCCTCCTCCTCCTCGTCCTCCCTCCTCCTCCTCCTCCTCCTCCTCCTCCTCCTCCTCCTCATCCTCCTCCTCTTGGACGCCCCCCTCGTGGACTCCCCCGACCCCCCCCCGGGAGGCGCGGGAGCGCTCCCTGGGCGCCCTGCCGCGCCCGAGCGCGCCCGCCTCTCGCGCTCTCTGCTCCAGCTGCGGCCCCTCCTCTTGCTGGCGGCTCGTCCACCATCGGCAGCACTGCAGGGTCCGACCGCAGCGCTGTTCGGCTCGGCTTGGGCCTCTGGTATGTCTTTCGCTCTGTGCTCCGTTGCGTTGTTCGTTTTTTGTTTTGAGCGCCTCGTTTTGTGTGTTCGTCTCGTTCTGCACCAATGCCGTTTTACACATCTGTTTGAATCAGGGCTTCGGTTCGTTTTTCGTTTCGATCGCTAATCCGTTTAAGCCTCGTTGTGGCTGGTCCTTGCGTTATCCCAAGACACACTTCAGTTTAGCCTTCCGTCGACTCTAGCTCGACTCTGGCTTTACTCCAGCTCGATTCGAGTTCGACTCAAGCTGACGGATGTTCGGCGCGGCCTCGACGCATGAGCGGAGCGAGTGGCTCCAGGTAGCTTCCAAGAGCGGGCATCTAACCTGCTTCGGCGGCGCGCCGGGGGAAGGCAGAAGGAGCAGGCCTCATCAGCAGGCGGCGTGGCTCCCTAGAATCCCTCTGGCCTTCTGAGAAGCCCCCTGTGCCTTCGAAGGAGGCCCAGAGCGATGTATAGCATGTTTTAAGCCGTCCGAGCCTTCTGAGAAGGTCCGACCCCTCTGCCTTCCCCCTCTCAGTGCGCCGCCGACTACTGGGACAGAGTAGGGTTCGAAGAAGAAGGATGCGAATAATGATAACACTACAACACCAATGCTAATTGTATTAGTAATGCCAGTGGTACTGATATCAATAATGCTGTACGTGGTAGTAGTAATAGTAATATGATTCATTCGAATAGTCGTATTAGTATCAATACTAGACATCAGTTTAGTTCTAGTATTATTCACCGTAGTAATCATACTGCAAGTACTAATAGTAGTAGTCATTAATACGTCTCAGACCAATAATACAAATCATACATAGACTGTTCTTTATTCTTGTAACCATACGAAGAATCGTAGCACTAGTAATATTCAGATTCGCAACGAAAATAAGAATAACCATATTAATATTCGCAATGCAACTACGAAAAAGCATACTAATAGAAAGGAACATCGGCAGACATATAACTTGCGGGGTCCGCGCGGATCTCTCGGATCGGCGCTGGATCCCCCATGGCGCCGCCCTTGGCGCGCCCCGCGCGCCGGGGACTGGGTTCCAGCGCCGATTACTACAAGAAACACCGCGAGGACCTCCGAAAGTGGCTGTCTATGCGGCCCTTTCCTCGTCCGGTCCGCCGCGCCAGTCTGCTCCTGGCCGGTGCCGCGAAGCCCGCAGGAGGCCCCAGACATGCGACGTCCTGGTTTTTGTTCAGTGCGCGATCCCGGGAAGTCTTGCCCCTTTCACCAGGGCTGGTTACCAGCCTGGAACATATCCCTATCCCTATGCTGGGCACCTCCTAATCACGATGCCGATCTTAGGGATTCTCTTAGTTTTTGAGGGCGAATCCCTAAGATTGTCATCGCCTTTTGGCGTGTCGATCTTAGGGATAGGGATAGGGATACGTTCCAGGTTGGTAAGCCTGTTTTGCCTCCAGAGCCGTTCTTCGACGGCCCTGGGGCCTGGCGAGGGCCCCCAGAGGCTCACTCACGCACTCCGGCGCGTGGGCAGGCACACAGCCTCAAGCTCAGGAGGGAAAGAAACACACAGACACAATTCATTGTCGATTCCCCGGAAAATATGGGAAACTATGGGAAGTGGGGGGGAAGACAAAAACCCAGAACATATGAGAAAAGATGGGGAATCTTTTCATTTATGTGTATTTATTTGTGTGTCCCAAGGCCCCTTCACAAGCAGCGGCCCGAAATGGAGGGTGAAATGCTGTGCTGGCTAAGTGGATCAAGGGGAGGAGGAGGAGGAGGAGGAGGAGGAGGAGGAGGAGGAGGAGGAGGAGGAGGAGGAGGAGGAGGAGGAGGAGGAGGGGACCGATTTTTTCACGTCGAGAGCATGTCTGGGCCCCCTATGCGTCCGAGGTCGTGCCCGTGCCGAGCGAGGGGCCTGGCATCCCGCACGGGCGACGGCGGCTGCTTCTGGGGGGGGCCGCCTTGCGGACCCAGGGTGCCGATGAGCTCGGCCCAGGGCGTAGACATGGGCCCGGGGAATTGGTCGGCCGGCCAGTGGCCAAGAAGTGGTCGTGCCAGGGCCCCCTTTTCCATCCCTCCCTTTACTCGTGACATGCTCGCGTCGGGAGGTTGAGGGCCGTCTGGGGCTCCTAACGGGGGCTCTTGCCGGGCCCCGGGGCCGTAAACAAGAGATCGGCTCGAGGTGAAGAGCAGGGCCCGGGGAAATGATCGGGAGTCTGGGGGAAGAGGCTGCAATTCGGGGGGATCGAAGAGGGGTGCGAAAAAACTGGCACACTGCCCAACAGCAGTTCCTGCTTACTTCGAGACAGGACCTGCTGTCCGCGCCGCTGCGGACGCTGTTTTCTGAAGGCAAAAGCCGCCTGCGCAGCAGCGGCCGCTGTCTGTTTCGGACAGCATGTGTTGTTCGGCATTGTGCCCATGCTTGTGCGTACTCCACAGAAATGAAGGAAGACATCGCATGTTTGGGTTCCATCTTTCTCTTATCCCGCCCTTCCCCTCTACGGGTCGCTTCTTTGGGCGGCCCGCGCACCGCGCAAGGTTTCCGGAGCACTGTTGTCTCTCCAACCCAAGCCCTACGAGCCCAGGATTGATAAGGAGGGAAAGAAACACACAGACACAATTAATCGTCGATTTCCATGAGAATCTGGGAAAATATGGAAAGTACGGGGGAAGACGATACGAACATATGGGAACCCTGTTATTTGTGTCTATTTATTTGTGTGTCTCTGGGCCCCTTAAATTGAGCCCGCCTGGTTTTATTCAGGCTGTGTGCCGCCCGTGTGGTCCAGCGGCTGTCACTTGGGCACGCGGTGGTGCGAGTGGCCCGTGTCGTGTCGAGTCTCTTTTGCCCCCCCCGCCTCCTCTCCTCTCCTCTCCTCTCCTCTCCTCTCCTCTCCTCTCCTCTCCTCTCCTCTCCTCTCCTCTCCTCTCCTGTCCTGTCCTGTCCTGTCCTGTCCTGTCCTCTCCTCCTCCTCCTCCTCCACCTCCTCTTCTTCTCCTCTCATCTCCTTTCCTCTCCTCTTCTCTCCCCTCTCCTCTCCTTTCCTCTCCTCTCTCCTCTCCGTTCCTCTCCTCTTTTTCCATCTCCTCTCCTCTTCTTCCTCCTCCTCTTCTTCCTCCTACTCTTCGTTCTCCTCCTCCTCCAAATCCTCCTCCCCCTTTTTTTTCCTTGTCGTTGCGATACCGTCCCGACTTTGTTCTTAGCTCTTTTCCCCAACGGCCGTTTGGGTTCAGACCGGCGTGGTGGAGAGCCTCCTCCACCCCCCTCCTCCCTCTCCTTCTCCTCCTTCCTCCTTCCCCCTCCTCTTCATCCTCCTCCGTCTCCTCCTCTTCCTTGTCTTTGTCGTCGTCCTCCTCCTCCAGCGACCTTTAGCGATTAGACCAGGCTGGCGCCTGTACGCACATGACACGCAGCAGCAGGACCGTGAAAGAACAGGACGGCGAGCCCGACGAGTCGGCTCCTCGGTCTGCTGCGTGCGACGGACGCATTAAGCATTTGGCGGCGGCGGCGGAGCAGCGAGTCGCTTGGAGACAGGAGAACTCTTGTCAAGTATGCGCTTGCTGGGGGGGTCGATTCCCTGCTTTAGCGGCGCCGAGAGACCTGCCAGCATGCCTGCTGCGGGCAGTGCGCTCCGTCTCGAGGTACCCGAGACGGTCCGTGGCGAACGTCCCGCAGCGTGAACACCAAATTATTTGGCCACTTCCTACCCACGAATTGTGAGTGGGGTTCGTACTTCGGGCATCCTGGGGAATACCTCGGCAGCGCGCAGCGCAGATCGACACCTTGGACCTACCCGTTTCCACACCGGGCATACAACCGCCCTTTGCCATGTGGGACAGCTGGTGACCCTGAGGGTCAGGTGCCATCTCGAGGCCTGCTGGTTTGACCCTGCCTACACGCTTCACCCTGGTGGCATCGGTTTTTTGTTGGTTGCTTGTTTTTCTTTTCTCGTTTGGCCAAGGCATCCAGGACCCCCGTCATGAGCATCGCCGTCCGAAGCACCCTCTCAGAGACAGCGCCGTGGGTGTTCCTGCCCTCTACGAGAGATCACGCAGCTGGCCCCTTGGCGCACCAGGATCGGCGAGACGGCCCGCCCGCTCTGTGCAGCCAAACGGGGCCCAGCACGTGACATCCGACCAGCGGGCCAAGCAGGGGGCTGGCCCCCCCATGCTGCAGATTCTGGTGCTGTGCTGGTCCTGGAGGGCCTGGTGGCGCGGGCTCGCGACGCGGCGCGCTTCGCTGCAGAGATCGAGGTCCACATCTCCGACGCGGGAGCCCGCGACTGCTGGCCCACGTTGGCCTTGGAGGACCTGGTCTTTGAGGTCCCCGTGGAATTCTTCGGCGAGCTCAGCACGGCGGCAGGGGGTTCCCCAGGCTAAGCCGCGGCGGCAGGGCTGGCAGCGGTTGCGGCGGCGGCGGCCTCCCAGCGGCACCAGCAGCTCGGCCGCGCGGAAGCGCCCGGCGGCCTGCATGCAGCTTGCGCGGGGGGACGCTGGGGAGGCGGCCAGCGGCGGCGCGGAGGGCCCATCGGCCGCGGCGACCCTGCTGATGTTGGCGCGCAGGCTCAAGGCTGAGCAGGAGGTGCCGCCTCCTTCGGGCGGCCCTGCGATGGCGGCGAGGACCTCGCAGCGCTTGGCGGGTGAGGCGGCTCGCAGGCCTGGGGCGCAGGGTGTGGCGAGCAGCGCGCCAGCGCCCCCGAAGCGGCGGATGCGGTCGAGCAGGAACTCCGCCGAGAGCTCCTCAAAGGCTCGGGTCCAAGTCTGAACGCCCTTCGAGAACAGCCTCCGCCGCACGGCCGAATGAGTGGCCTCGACGGGGGTGATATTAACTCCAGCAAGCATTGCCACAAGGCGAAGCTCTGCTCTGGCCACCTCGTTTTCCAATCCTCCAGAGCTATCCCGATACCTCGCCACGAAATCGAGCGACCTTTCGTCGAACAGGCACGGCGGGATGTGCACGTCGACGTCGGCGCCCCCGAGCAACCGAAATAACTTCATGGGGAACGTGTTGTGCTGGATGTCCAGGCTCTCGCTGACTAAGCAATCGCATGACGATATCATCCGAAACGCAAGTGCTGTCATGCTCAAGGTCTGGTGCTCTGGCGGGGTGAGGTCCACCCAAAGCTCCTTGCGATGCAGCAGCAGCTGTGTTTTACCATGCAAGTTAGCTTCAAACGCACCCGACGCGCTCTCCACGATCGGGTACGCCTGGCCTTCCCCCTCGGAGCCATCCTCGAAAAAGCTCTGGGCTGCCTCTGCCTCTTGACGTGCGGCGTGCTCCGCGCCGACGTGGTCTGAGTGCCCCTTCAGCAACTCCCGCAGGGGCTCCATGGTCTGGCGAACCACCAGCGAGCACGCCAGCGGGCAACACCTTCGCATGACAGACCGAACGCACCATCGGACTCAGCAGACCCCACCATGCAGGTTATGTTCCCAATCTCCATTCCGAAACAAAAACAAACATGCGGGCGGGGTCTGATGTCTGACGGGTACATTCGGCCCCCCAGTGGCCACCGCAAGACAGCCCCTGCAATCCTGCGATGCCTGGTCCTCTCCGGCTTCTCGTTCTCCTCCTGTGTCTGCCTGGAGTCGGCCTCGCCGAGCTCCGCGCCGCTGGCCTCGTCGCCCTTCGCGCCCCTGGCCCGGTAGTCCGCGATCGCTGTCATGTGGGAGGCCGACGCGGGCAGGTCGGAAGGGGCGGGGAGGCCACGGTCATCCGCATCAGCAAGCCCGCTCGCACGTTCTCCTGCACCAGGCTGGCCACGCGGCGCCGATGAGGCCGTGGGCGCCTTCCAGCATGCAGAACTCGTCCCGCGCTTGATCTGGCCGGGTCCATTTGGACTTATCATGCACAGTGAACCTGGACCCAACCAGGCACTTCACCAGAGACTCCGGAACTGCCTCCCGAACTTCCGCGCCATCATGCGCGGCGCCCACGGGGATGTGCACCTCCACGCAATCCGTCTCGGGCTAATCGCCATTCGGCGAGAAGCTGAGGGCGAGGCGCTTCGCCAACAGCCGACTCCCGCGCGCCGCGCAGAGCCACGGCAAATGGCGACGATGTCTCTCAGCGGTTTTTTGGGTTCGATCATTATCATTTCCGGTCCTCTTCCTTATCATCATCATCATCATCATCATCATCATCATCATCATCATCATCATCATCATCATCATCATCATCATCATCATCATCATCATCACCATCACCATCACCATCACCATCACCATCACCATCACCATCACCATCACCATCACCATCACCATCACCATCACCATCGTCATCATCACCATCATCATCATCATCATCATCATCATCATCATCGTCCATATCCACATACTCCACGTCCTCCGCCCCCCACATTCGAGGGGGGAGGGCGAAGGTGAGCAGGAGATGGGGGAAGGGAGATGGAGGGAGGAGGAAGCTGGGAGGGCGGAGGCTGGAGAGAGGGAGGGAGGGAGGGATGGAGGAGGACAAGGACGACAAGGCGGAATGGTCGGGGAAGGCGATTGCGAGCTTGAGGTTTAGCGGGCCCCAACCCTGCCTGAACACAATCCTCTGCTTCACGGTGGTCCTCACAATCCTCTGGAACCGATTGAACGAGGTGCCGTCGTTGATCGCCAACGCCCAGTGGATTTGGTCCATTCTAATTGGGACCACGGGGGCAAGCGTCTTCTTATGGCAACCTGCCACCAGGTGGATCTCGCAGCCGACGGGGCCGTCAGACTGGGACCTCAATTCTCTCAAGTACTCACGTTCATATCGATCGTCTGCTCCAGCGCCGTCCAAGCAGCTGAGCCGAAGCTTGTTCGTAAATTTGGTATTCCAATTAGAAATGGCTAACCTCTGCTTCGCCGCGGCCAGCAAGCACTCGCCCGTTGTCCTGTTCAAGAGTGCTGGGGCCACGTCGGCGCCCTGCGACGGTGACAAGGCGCCCGTCGGGCGCGCGAAAGAGCACCCCGAAGCTGCCCCTGCTCTGCAGCACTTTGTGCTCGTG